ATAATAAAGGTTTCGATGGAGTAGAGTTTAAATCATAGATTTAGGTATTAGGTGAATATTAGTAGGTAGAGACTGCTCTGACTGATAAAGAGGAACCAGAAAACAAGTGAAGAAAAGTAAATCAGATTTTCACTAAAACGATTCTTAGAAATCACATGAGCTCCAAGAAACAAGAATTTCTACTAATTAATAAATCATTTTTATTTGATTTTCCACTTTTATTTGCTTTGTTTGTTAGAGTCCTACTATAACTCTAAATATTTTTAGCTTACTACTTTGGCTTTGAAGAAATTTTCGAAGATTTATGTTCTCCAAATTCTCATACTCTTCCATAGGCTTATATAACATAACTCTTTCTTCCTCAGGAATTAATCTAGTGTCTGCTTAACTAAAGAAACTGGACCATATACCAGAAGTACTTTCACGTTTTATCCTTTAGCCCTCAAAACCAATGTATTCATTCTTCTTTTCTTTCCAGCCTATCTTTCCAAAAATTTGTCTCTTTGAAAGAAAGACCTGGTCAACTACTTCCAAAAGATTACAGCCATTGGAAACCTTTCCATCTTGCTGAAAAATTTAATCATCTTTTGAGGCTCTTGTTCCAACTTCTTTCTATTAAGTGTCTCTAGGAATTAATTCCATTAATGACCCAGGCTTTAAAAAAACACAAACTATAAACATAAATTAGCCATCCTTTTCTAAAATAAAGTTGCTTTTGGATTACCTGCCTTTGAATTATGCTTTGTGCATTCTCACATATGTAACTTTAGTCCCGTCACTGTTTTTACCTGATATGGTCTCCTGTTCTGTGGCATCAAAAATCCTACCCATCATCTTAGTGCAATGCTTTTTGAAATAGCTTCCATATAGAATCTCTGTTCGTAATCAGAAAGGTTCCTATAATGATTGTTTATCATGCCAGAGTATATGAGTTTCGATGCTTCAAAAATATTTGAAACTGACTGGATTCATCAAACTGCAGATAGGTTAAGTGACTTGTCCAAGATTAGTGACAGATTAAGAACTAGTGCTTGGGTCTTCTGAATCCACTTTCTGAAAATTTCCTCCCCCTTTTTTTTTTTTTTTAGAAAAAATGCAGACATTACTAATGAGGGGTTGAATTTTCAGATAAGGAATAAAGACTTTTCTCCCATGCTAGTGTCTAATATTGTTATGATCTGGTTTCTGTCCTAATTGGTTTATTTCCCTCTATCCAAAAAAATTATGAACAATGGTTATTAAGGTCCTTTTCCATAGGCTCCTGTGTGTGATTTGAGGACACTGACTCTACCCAACATGGAAAAGGATGTTTGTTTCATGGTTGTGGTGTAACTAAAATTAATGTTGGTTAAACTTTGATGGTTTCACAAAACGACTTGGACTTGGAGAATTCCTTGACTGAGTTTTAGAGATGGCATCAGTCCTAATCTGAGGAAATGGTGATTGAGATAATTTTTACTATTCCTAAGCCTGAAATCAAACTCAAAATAATGTCTTCTTATCAGCTTGAGGACTAAGGTGAGCCTGACCCAAGCCATGGTATTTTCAATAACCATGTATGCATGCAAAAGCTGGACAGTGCATAAGGAAGACTGTAGAGGAATTGACACATTTGAGTTAAGAATTTGGAGGAGAATATTGAAAGTTCCATGGGCTGCCAAAAGAACCAATAGATCTGTTTTGGAAGAAGTGCAGCCAGAGTGCTCTTTGGAGGGCAGGATGGCCAAACTTCATCTCTTGTATTTTGGACATATTGTCAGGAGGGACCAGTCACTGGAGAAGGATATCATGTTTGGTAAGGTGGAGGGTCAGAGAAAAAGAGGAAGACCTCCCAACGAGATGGATTGGCCAAGTGGCAGCATCGATGGACTCAAGCGTGGCAACAGTAGTGAGGTTGGCCCAGGATTGGGCAGTGTTTCTTTCTGCTGTACATAGGGTCGCTATGGGTCAGTACCGACTCGATGGCACCTAACAACAACAACAACACCAATCACTAGTGTCATTTTTCTTGCTCCTTTCTTTCTGTACTAGGAGCCAGTTAGGACAACTGAAAGGGAGCGCTTAAGTATTCTGAGAAGGCTTTCAGTTCTGGAACATAGCTTTTCCCAAAAAGAAAAAGATGCAAGGAGACATGACTACACTTTTTAGGTCTTTTGAAGTTCTTTGTTGTTGTTGTTATGTGTGTGTGTGTGTGTGAGAGAGAGAGGGAGAGAGAGAGAGACCTATCAAATTATCAAATGTTTTGGGTCATGAAAATAATTTCAAGTTAATAAATAGTATAATTAGAAACCTTATACTTCATATTAAGATTCTAACGATACAAGTGATTTTCTGAAATGCTTCATGAGAAATTATACTTAAGGTTATGCATAAATAAAATAACATGGAATGCTGATGTCAAATACAAGAATTTGATGCATTTATATGTATCACAATATGCACTTATGTTTACCACAAAATTTAAATTACTTTAAACTGTTATTAAAGTACAATTCAGTTAATGATAAACTACGAACACAGAAGGATTTTAACAATGATTTTGGAGGTAAAAGAAAGTCACTTTTTTCTTTTTTTAACCTCGCAGGAGTCTGAGATACAGTGTTTTTCTCCAATCAACTTTGTTTTATATATTATGCTAAATATCATACATTTTCCATTTGTTGAATTTGAATTTCTTGCACATTGATTTTTTACTCACTTTTCAGTCACAAGATGAGAAATGTAGACACTGTGTACAAACAAGAAGTTCATGCAGAGGCAAGCTCTCAAAACCACATGCAAGACTCAATGGCACATGGTTTAGAGCTCACACACTCCAGGATCATGTAATACAGGCATGCAGATGAGAAAAAAGAAAAGAACCTATATCATGACAATAAAGGATGATGAAAGAGTGACATTTTCTTTATGACAGTTATCTAATGCAAACCGTATACCCATAACCTTTACCAGAGTGGGGGTAAGGGCAGAGAAACAAAATATTTATGGGAGTGGGAAACTGTATACAAATATTATTAGAGGACAAGCCATTGTTAAAGTACGAAGTTTCTATTCTGCTCTTGGCCTCTTTCACGTTATCTCCCCCACCTTCTTGCTTTGCGTTTCCTCCACTATATCATGCAAAAGAAAGATCAGATCTAACATTGGAAATCACTTAACAAGCTCTAAACCTAACAGATAACAAGGGTGTTCTTCACAATTTACACGAGAATTAAATTGGATATAAATACCTCCTGTTCTTACCGGTGGGTGTTGTGATTCCATGTATTAAGGTGTGAAGCAGACAGGAGAGAGATAAATCTTTCATAAGTACATTGTAAATAGGCAAGTGGTATATAAACCATATTAATAGGTAATAGAGTCAAACAATGAAAGGTAAATAATTGTCACAAAATACTCCTTTTATCACAAAAAGTTTACAAAACTAGAATTATATGGAGAGGGAAGGTACAATAAATGGTGGTTTTTCTACAGTTATTCAAATAATCTGGAAGTCTGGAACAACAAAATTGGGTGACGTGTTTTGATTTAAAAGTCTTCACATTGCTTCAGCTAACCCAGCATTTAGAGATTCCTGAATAATTTTTGAATGCTGATATCTTTGCTTAACAATAATAGTGATGGATGTCTATAAAAGTGGTCAATTGGTAGGTGCGCTTTCATGTAAGATTAAACGCTTTCTTAGTGAGGTCAACTATTAAATGAATTTTTTAACAGGAATTTTGGGATGATTAAAAACAAGTCATGGGGTTCAGTTATTTTACATGAAATATGCTAGTCAAATAACTTCAAATTGAAATGTTTTATAATGACATGTTTGTACTTAGATTCAGATAAAACACAACTATGATACACTGATCCACATGTAATGTGTTTCAAATTAGGCAATGTTTGCAAAGATTTCTGTACTTTGCATGCTAATTGTGAACACTCGCTTTTTTTTTTTTTTTTTTTGCTGGACTATTGCTAGTCTAACAAAAATATCAATTTAAATTTTAGAGGCTCCCTTATGCAAAAAAAAATGTATTGTGCTGTTGTTGTTTTTAAATGTGAGTGATTTATTTTCTGAAAAATTCTTACAAACAGGGCTCTTGTACAGTGGAGGAGTAGCCAGGTGGGAAATAATTATTTTTAAAGTTTTTATCTCTATGATATGTCATGGAATTAGGATCTGTTAGATAGCTTATCTTTAGCAATCAAGTCTCTATAGCCAAACAACATGGTCAAAAGAATGTGAAAATTTTCCTAAATGGTGAAAAGACCGTCTTTGGACCAGAATAATGTCATTAATTTTGTTGATTTTTGAATGCAATAGAGGAGATACGGGTTATGACAAGTGATTTTTGATGCTAAATTTACTTAAAAGGTGTGAAGGAATCCATATTTCCCCCTTGAAAGAAAGATGCATTAAACCAGATACAATAAAAGGGTAAGGAACATATAGGTAATTGTTCACAATATAGAGAAATCATTCTTAAAAGAAGCATGAAACTTCCTATTATGAAATGATTATGATATACTTAAACTCCCTAGTCTCACCCAGAAATTCTCAAGATGCCTTATGTTCAAAGATTATTAATCTTGATTCTCATTAATAATAATAATCATGGTTTGGGGCATTGTAGTTGTTACTGTTTATTTGCTGAATCTTAATCATATGGGTCCAACTGATCTTTTGGGTGCTGGCAACTAACTAAGCCATGTGATGAAATCTCAAGTTCCAGGTCAGGCAATACTCTCTAACCAGAAACAGGAATCCTACCATACATAGTTATAGCAGTTTGCATCATGTTATAATGCCTTTGCCACACAATATAACTAGATATAGCACCATGCAATGCCATGAATTGAGAATGAGAGACTATCTCCAGGGGAGAAAATAAACACCGAAGAGAGGAAAACAAAAGCAAGGGGTTCAAAGCTGGTGAGACTGGCTTTTCCATTTTGGTTATAATTATAATGCCTGTGGCACATGAATTTTGGAAAACAGGAGTACATACCATGTTCATGTCGATGCCATTTGTGTATGTCCATGCATGCTGGAAATATTCTTCAAGCCGTTGTCTCAGAGGGTTGGGAATTTGGTGAAAGCGAATGAATTCTTTTACTCGCAGCATCTGCATATGGTATCTGGCTGTTCCAGAATATAGTCTTTGGATAATTGCAGATACATTCCCAAAGATGCTTGCATACATTAGTGCTGGAATGGATAAAAAACAAAGCTATGGAGGAACACTGCACTTGGGCGTATTGTATCTTGCTAGAAGCTCAAGGATGTACATTTTGATGGTGCCAATTTACTTGCAATTATTTATCATTTGCCCATGGCAGAGGAAAAGATCAGCTAATAATACTCTTGTAAGTATAATAATTTTAAGATAAATATGGAAACAAATTTAGTCCAAATTTACCATGAATACTAACTTAAAATTAAAGCTTGCATCGTTAATAATATCAAAGGCCAATTTTTGTAGTAGAGTGAAGATATCAATTTTAACAGTGCCTCTCAGTCTCAAATCTAAACTCGCAATAATAAAATCAATTATAATCTTAATATCTTGAATACTTTGGATTTACTTAGAAATTTTAAATTGTTTTAAATAACTCAGTTTTCTTTCAATGTTTATTTGTGTGTGATTTGTAATCAATTGAAATTATTTTTACAGTATTTCTGCAGGAGATACTATATCTATCTCCTGCTTAGAATATGAATATAGTTTTTTTTTTTTTTGTAGGGAAAAATTAAATAAATTTTTGTTCTTTTATCATCAATAGGGGAAATTGCCGCCATTCTTTGCCACATTGTTGTTGTTGTTGTTGTTAAGTGCCTTCGAGTCGGTTCCGACCCATAGCGACCCTGTACAGGGTTTCCGAGGGTGTGAATCTTTACGGGAGTAGAAAGCCTCATCTTTCTCCCGCGGAGCGGCTGGTAGTTTCCAACCACTGACCTTAAGGTTCGCAGCCCGATTCGTAACCACTACGCTACCACTGGCACATCCTTGCTAGGGCTTTCTGGGTTAAATTTTTATGATTCAAATTAACCTCTTGAAGCATCTTCCCTTTTGTTTTTTATATTTGTATTCATTTTCTAATAATTAAAAAATATTTTATTGTGAATTACATGACAGTTTACATGGGAGAACATTAGCTTTCCATTCATCCTATCGTATATGGTTTCATTGCCATGGTTACAACTCCCTCCATGAATCATCAACCAACCAAAGGGTATATAAACCCTACAAGCCTCCCCTCTGGTCCTCAGCACACAGCCCCTTTCCCTCTCTGGGTCTAGAGTCCCCAGCTGTTTCCTATCTCCATGTCATCGTCTCTGCCTCTAATAATTTTTCTAAAAGGAAATGTTATATATTGTTCAAGAAAGTCACATTATGATACATGGCCTGCATATTGGTCTTGGGATGTCTGTGAGAACCTTAGAGAGGAGATATATATTTAAGCCACTGGAACAGTAATAAACCAATCAGGTGGGGGAAATACAGCTACCACAGTTTGATACCCCCAAAATGATTTTTTGTTTCAAACACATTTTAGAAACCATTATCTCTATATACCACTTAATCATTTTGAAAGGTTTTGTCTAGATTCAGGCCAAGTGTTTTAAAATAATATCTTCCAGGGCATTGCTTTCTTTTCCATCTTATTTCAGTCTCTGGGTTAGCATGATTTTTGTTTATTATGCGTTACTGATAGCGTAGTGGTTACGAATCGGGCTGCGAACCACAAGGTCAGCAGTTCGAAACTACCAGCCGTTCCGCGGGAGAAAGATGAGGCTTTCTGCTCCGGTAAAGATTTACAGCCTCGGAAACCCTGTACAAGGTCGCTATGAGTCGGAACCAACTCCACGGCACACAACAACAAATGTTGTTGTAGCTGTTAAGTGCCATTGAGTTGATTCTGACTCATAGAGACCCTGTACAGGATTCCAAGTAGTTGGTAGATTGAACTGCCAACTTGTGGTTCACATTCTATTGCTGATCCTACAGCGTCAACACCAGGGCTCATAATTCATGTGGTACCACAAATAAGAGAATGTCCTAAGGAAATAAAAGCCCGTGATTTTCTTCTGTTTGTTAATGTTGTTAAATGCCATGGAGTCAATTCCGACTCTTAGCGACCCTGTATAAGGGTTTCCGAGGAGCAGCTAGTGAGCTTGAACTGGCGACCTTGCGGTACAAAGCGAGCTTGCAGTTAATTAAGGAGTTGAAAGGTAGGGAGATCTTTTGATGTCGTAAGTGCCATCGAGTCAGTTCTGACTCACAGCGACCCTGTACAGGGTTTCTAAGTAGCAGCTGTATTTGAACCGACCTTGTGATTCAAACCAACCTCCAGGTCAGCGCAAAAATTGGAGTATGAAAGAGAGTATCAGCCAGGTAGATAAACAATTTAGGTTGTGTCTTACACAGGAAGAAGGGGTGAACCTAATTTGAGTAAATGAATGGTTAATTAAGAAGGAAATTAGCAATACTTGCCTGAAACTGATTCCTGTGATTCTAGGAGATTTGTGTGAGAAAATAATTTACTCTTCCTAAGTATAGTGTTGGAATTTTTTTTGTTTTTTGTTTTTGGTACTGCTAGGTCTCCAAAGGCCTCAGGAAATAGTTTAGTTAGTACAGATAAAATTCACATTACTTAATCATAGAACATATAATCAATACTAGGTTTGTTTTCGTTTTTTATTTCCTTACCTAAATCATGTAATTACATGAGGGACAAAGGCCGTGGGTGGGAGGGGTGGGGGAGTGGGGGGGTGAGGATCTTATTTAGTTCTAATAAATACTATGACTTGTTTCCATATAGCCCTCAAAATGAAACGTTTGTTTGGGTTGCAAGCAATTATTTCTTACCCATTGACAAGATGGCAAAATCTACATTATATAGGTTGTTGTTGTTGTCAGGTGCCATCAAGTCAGAACCGACTCATAGCGACCCCATGCACAGCAGAACGAAACAATGTCCGATCCTGGGCCAACCTCACTACCGCTGCCACACCCGAGTCCATCAATGATGCCACCTGGCTGATCCATCTCATTGGGGGTCTTCCTCTCTTTCTCTGACCCTCCACCCTACCCAGCATGACATCCTTCTCCAGCGACTGTTTCCTCCGGACAATATGTCCAAAGTAGGAGAGACGAAGTTTAGCCATCCTGGCCTCCAAGGAGCACTCTGGCTGCACCTCCTCCAAAACAGATTTATTGGTTCTTTTGGCAGTCCATGGCATTTTCAGTACTCTCCTCCAACACCACAACTCAAAGGCATCAATTCTTCTACGATCCTCCTTATTCACTGTCCAGCTTTCGCATCCATATGAGGCTATTGAAAACACAATGGCCTGGGTCAGGCCATTGTGTATATAGGTACATGGTTATATATATAAATGACCAATTATTTATTTTAGGAAATTCTATGATGGTGTCTTTTAAAACTATATCCAAGCCATCCATTTGTTTTCTATTTTTTTAAGGAAGTAAATGGAGCTAAAGACTTCATGAGAGAGAGAAGCAAAGAATGATTATATTCTGTGTACATTATTTAAAGTCCATCAAATGGCATAAAATGCCATTTAAAGGCCAGTTGGAAAACTATATATAGGTATTTCTTTTCTCAGCTCAATGTTTTATTTTTCTTTTCTTAATTTGTTATTATTATGTGCCATCAAGTCAGTACCAACTCATAGTGACCCTGTATTGAGTTTCTGAAGAGCAACTGGTGAGTTTGAACTGCTGACCCTGTGGTTCAAACTGAGCTTGCGGTCTAGGGAGCTTTTATTTCATAAAAAATTCATTCAGTACTATAGAAATAAAACAGCTATATTTCACAACCTTTTTCAGCACCTCATATACATTTTGTATTTCTGTTACAAAAATTTTATAAATATTGTAACTTAAAGATAATTTTTATAAAGGTATAATTTACACAAAATAAAACATACCCATTTAAATGTATAGCTCCTTTAGGCCTGACAAATGTATGCACACATATAAACACAATCAATATATAGAATATCTCCATCACCTCCCTTTTTATAGTAAAAAAAAAAAAACTTTAATTTACTGTATGTAGAAGCACATTCCTCCGCAGATTTGTTTTGATATTTGGTTATCAATTTCTTAGATCTTTCCAACAGCTTATTGCATATTATAAAATGTGTTCTTAAATGAGTAGGTAAAGAAAGACCCTGGAATCTTTGTAGAAGACTTGATTGTTGGGCCTGAAGATTTTGAATTGCTGATACTTCATACTGGAAAAAAATACTGGTGCTTGGAATAAGAGGGCCCTCACTCACCTCTACGAAGTCAACAAATTTGTGCAGCTTGACTGTTCTCTCAGGGTTCTGTGATGACTTCTCTTCTATAAAATCTATTTTGTACTTGTGCTGAAATAATTCTAATGCCACTTTTGCATTAACTTCCAAAGTTTCAAAAGGAAGATCTTTATAAATTAAAGCATGAGCATCTTTTGGGAAGGAATGCAGATTCTCATTTGTTGGCATCCATGCATTGAGTCTCTTGTCCAAAACTGCATCATAGCAGAAAGCTCCAGCAATTACAGGAATTTCTGGAGCTTTGACCAAACTGACCACTACTCATCTTTGAATGCCTGCTCTATTACACAGCCCATCAGCACGGCACAAGAATGCCAATAAACCTTATTCACTTCTCTTGGATCTAGGTCTTTGAAAGTAAGGACTTTAATTTCATAAGACTTGGTCAAAGATCTGTACATGTCCCAAGGCTGTCCGTCAACAAGAGACAAAATGGACTTTCTGCAGTACTACTCACTTAAATGCATAGCACAACTATAAGGAATCAAAATGTCCTTATTCATCACGAAGACAGTGCCAGGGTCCACTTTCCCAGTAAGTTTAACTTCAGTCTTCTCAGTTTGAGGAGCTAATGATAGCTGCCTGTTTTTCTTTTTATTAAAGAGTTCATTTCGCATTTCTGTCAATTCAGTCAGTGACAGCTGAGAAACTGGTAATGTTGCTCTAAATCTCCAGCTGGCCGCTAACCGGAGTGATCCAACAGAGCCGCAGACTCGGGGCCTCCAAGGTTACCGCCTCCATCACTGCAGTTCCTCATGTTCTTTTGCTATCTCTCCTACTCGTCTCTTTTTAGTCATTACAGATTTATTTTCACTTTCTAAGACTTTTGAAGTCATAAAGCATGTACTAGGGAGCACTGTGACTCTGTAGGATAAGCACTGGACTACTAACACAAGTTTAGCATTTTGAGCCCACCAACAACCCCGTGGGAGAAAGATGAGCTTTTCTGCTCCAGCAGGTATTTATAGTCTCAGAAACTCCATACAGGGTTGCTTTGAGCTGGAGCTGACTTAATGGAACTTAACAACAAAGTATGTATTTAGTTGTATCTGACTTATTTTGCTAACCTAATGTTTTTGAAATTCATCCTGTTGTGTAGATCAGTAATTTGCCTTTTATTTCTAACTGAACTCAATTTGAAATAGAAATATAATCAATCATTGGTAATAAATTAAAGATATTTTTGATAGCAGTGAAAGAGAGCTGCAAGGTTCAATTCATCAATTTGCAAGCGCCTATCATTCTAGTTTTATGCCTATGGTTTCCTGAGAGCCTAAAAGACAATTGGTGTCTTTGCTTCACAGAGAAAATAAAGTTTGATAGAATTACAGTGCCCATGTATGTCAATCCATTGTCTCTATAATTCTCTATCATTTTTTCTTTGCCTAATTTTAAATATTTCTAGAGATAGCAATTCTGTATTATTTTAGTCTAATAATTAACAAAAGAGAAATCTACTTACAGCCAATCAACATGACACAAATTGAAAAGATTTTCTCCGAATTGGTGTTAGGAGACACATTCCCAAATCCTACGCTGGTTAAACTGCTGAATGTAAAATACAGTGCTGTGACATATTTGTCTTTTATGGATGGTCCAGAACTCGAGTCACTGTCATTGTAACATTTCCCGATTTGTAGTCCTAGGGAATCCAACCATCCAATTTTGTTAGTCAGGTATGGTCTTTCCACATTGCCAATCGCATACCAAATGCAAGCCAGCCAGTGGGCAATCAGGGCAAATATGCACATTAAGAGCATTAGGACTGCAGCGCCATATTCCGAATACCGATCAAGTTTCCTGGCCACTCGTACAAGACGGAGGAGTCTAGCTGTCTTCAAAAGACCAATTAATGTTGTTGTCTGTGAAAACAAATGTGCACTATTAGAGATAGTTAATAAACAATTCAAGACATGCTCCCGTGAAAGAAAGTAGGCAGTAACAGGTTGAAACAATATGATAGCATTTAAGATAACTATATATTTAAATTAAGTATTAGTTTTATTTCTTTTTAGAGTTTCACTCCCATTTTGGAAAATACTTTTAAAGTGTGTAGCACAAAATTTAAGATCTTGACATGTAAGACTCATAGGACAGAATCTTATTTTCTTTTATGCTCTTATCAAATAACTTGCACATCATTTATTGTTAAATGATGTCAAGTTGGTTCCAACTCATAGTGACCCTGTATGGGGTTTCTGAGGAGCAGCTGGTGGATTTGGACTGCTGACCTCGTGATTCACATGTATTGCTGATCCTACAGTATCACACAGTGATGGTTATTTCTTTCCAGTTAATTCAGACTCTTGTTGACTCTACCTGTGCAGAGTAGAACTCTTCTATAAGCGTTTTGAAGGCTATGACCTTTTGGAAGCACATTGCCAGGACTATCTTTGAAGGTGTTTCTGGGTGGGAAAGAGCCACCAACCTCTTTTGGCTAGCAGTGAAGCGTTTAACTTTTTCACCACCCAATCACTTTCTTGTACATCATAAGTACTGAATAAATTATTCAATCACCCAAGAAATATTCCTGTGGGTTATTGTGTACCTGTGAAGGGCCACATGTTGGAATTACAGTGTTGAACAAAAAGACAATGTTGTTTTTCTAATAGAACGATTCAACAGAGTTGAGAAAAAAAACTTCTCCAATGAAGAGAAACAGGTTCTTTCTCTAGTGGGGGACACAGATGTTTTAAAAATAAATAAACAAGAAGATAATTTTAGATAGTAAAAAGTATAATGATGATATTAAAGCAGAGTAAGATGATATGGGGTGCTTGGGCTATTATTTGGAGATGAGAATCACTTTAGAAAAGGAAGTTAAAGGAAGGTCTGACTGAAGAGCAGACATTTGAGTTGAAAGAGGCTTGCATAAAGACAAGACGCTAGGCAAGCAGATAACTATGGAAACATTTATTCGTAGACTATCTGCATGCATTAGGTCTATATTTAAATGCAATTTTTCCTTTGTAAATATGTTAAATTGATAAATTGTTTCTTGATATCTCAATGATTTATAATTGTATTTTAGCTTTTGATTGTGACATGTATAACTAATTACATGATTATTACTGACCAGGTATCTAATGATAGGACACTTGCATATAATAACAGGATACTTCAATGGCTGTTAGGACTTGAAATCTGATAAGTACAAATTACAAGTTCATTTTTTATGTTTCCTAAATAATGTCAACTATAAGTACTACATAATTCAAAGGACATATAATTATTCCATAGTTACATGGTATTTACCAATCAATTATTGAGTCATTTTATCTGCTCAATGTTTGTGTTTATTTCACAAAGAACATCCAAACGCATTAAGAACACTTGTATCACCCATATTGATTAATACTAAATTAATACTGACTTGATGAAAAAAGAGCACAGAGTAGCAGAAAAACCTTTTAATTAAAATGCTATAATGCTCCATGTTTTGTTTTGTTTTTCCCTCCCTGTGCCACAGTCGTCATAGGGGTAGTGGGAATTCTTCCCACTGAATATTGGAAACCCTCTGGAGGTGGGAGGAGTTTGGGTAGTTGGATTACAAGCTGGGTGGCTAACTACAAGCTCTGTAGTTTGAATCTACCAGTGATTCCACAGGAGAAAGACGAGGCTTTCTGCTCCTGTAAGATTTGTAGCCTTGGTAACCCTATGTTGTTGTTGTGTGCCATGGAGTCGGTTCTGACTCATAGTGACCGTGTACAGGGTTTCCGAGGCTGTAAATCTTTATGGGAGCAGAAAGCCTCATCTTTCTCCCACGGAACATCTGGTAGTTTTGAACTGATGACCCTGAGGTTAGCAGCCCGATTCATAACCACTACGCTACCTGATACATGGTCATTATGAGTCAAAACCGACTCTACAACATACCACCTCCACCACTACCATCAACACCATGATAACTGGACTCTTTTGCTTCTTTTGGGATGTACAGAGAAGTGAGTTTCCAGTGCTGAGTTATTATCATGATAATAATGAAAATGATGTCTTTTGTTTTTGGTTTTTGTCTCTCAAAGAATATGTCTTCTTAAGAAATGAAAGGAAGGTTTAAGCTAGTGTTGGGTGGTGTCCTGGGAGAAAAGTGAACTTTCTTCTATGGTAATCATGAATTATTTTTCTTTAGCAGTTAGGTGGTGGGAGTTTTGTACAAAGCTTGCACTTGAATTCTACTTCTATGCTGCTGTAGGATCTTAAACAAGTTAGTTCATCTTTAAGCTTCAGTTTCATCATCTGTAAAAAGGGAATTATAATGCCTTCCTTACACGTTCTACATAATACTCAAACTTCATTTTTTTGTTTTAATATCCTATACATTTTTGTTCTATCAGGAAGCAGGGGTTGTATATTTGATGTGGATTAATAGATTTCCCACATTTCACAAACGTATGATTTAGATCTCTGGAATCTCTGTTAGAGGCCTTTTAACAATGTCCTTGCAGCCCCATTAGAATGTGGCAGGGACTTTGAAACACAAGAATCTAGATACACTAACTGCTTAATCTAGATATACTAACTGCTCAGACTCTGATAAGTAGAATCATCCTGGTTTAGTATTTTACTACTTTTATGCTTCAAAAGAGTCTTGGTGTGATGCTGCAGGAAAATGCACTGGACTGTAAGGTAGGTTTGAACTGCAGGGTTGGCAGTTCAAGCTCTCCAGCTGCTCCTTGGAAACCCTATCCAGAGTTGCTAGGATTTGCAACTGACTTGGAGGGACTTAACAAAACAACAACATGCTTCAAAGGAGTCATGGTGCGGTGCTATAGGATAAGCACTGGACTCCTAGCCACAAGGTCAATGGTACAAACCCACCAGCCGCTTCTTGGAAGCAGGAAAGGGCATATTACTACTTTCAAGGAAAAAGAACAAAGAGTGGAGTACATTCTTTTGACCCCCAAATCCCTGTATTGAATCTCTTTGATCCAGGACTAGAGCTGTGTGTGACACGAGGGAGGTATCAGAGGAGCAGCAGCAGCAGAACCAAGAACCAGAGCATGAGACAGAGGGGTGGCCTTCCTGGTCCACAGAGCAAGTAAAGCTGAGTGCCTTTGGGCAAGAGTGGGATGCCTCTAGGGCTTAATTGGGGAGTTGGGTTTGCCAACCCACAAAGCTAGAGTGGAATGTCCTCTGGGCATTTTCAGCAGCCCTTTAAGAACTTTGTAAGGAGCCCTGGCAGCATAGCGGTTATGAGTTGAGTTGTTACCCTCAAAGTCAACAGTTCGAGTCTATGGGAGAAAGATGAGGCTTTCTGCTCCCATAAAGATTTACAGCCTCAAAAATCCTATCCACGGTTACTATGGGATGGAACCTTAATCTGTCAATTTCTCTAATAAACTCTACAATCTTGAGTATCACCTCTGAGTTCTTTGACCATTGCAATGAAATATTGAGCCCAGATAAGAAATAGTGAGTGCCATGGGAGGGCCAGCTGATGTCAGAATTAGTAAAAAAGGAAAGAGAGTGAAGGTATGTGTGACTTCCCTCTCATAAGAATGCCTGATGCTGGTGGTGTTTCTCTTCCTCCCATGCCTGAAGTCAGAGGAAGTCAGACACTGCTGTGCAGCATGCCACACCCCTTTCTACCCTCCTTCCAAAGATATATCTGATGCTTACTGTAGGATTATAGAAACATGAAGACTGCTAAACAGATAAATAATTATTACATGTGTTGTTAGGTGCTGTCAAGTTGGTTCCAACTCATAGCGACCCTGTACATGATTTCTGAGGAGTGGCTGGTGGGTTTGAACCACCTACCTCACAATTAGCAGTCCATTGCTTATCCTATAGTGTTACACCAAGACTCTAGTATATATATATAACATATTATTAAGTTAACTTTTCTGGGACAAAAAAGTTTAAGAAATACAGTATAAGATGAATTCTCAACCAAACTGCCATTCTTTTTGCAAAATAACTGCAGAGAAAGAATTATTAAAGCAATTATTTTCTCTTTCAGCAACATCATAAGGATGCATGATTATTGACTTCCACTGCCAAAAGCATTTTTTTGTGAGACTATAACTTGTGTACAAATGTGGCTACTTATGCTAGCTTGACAAGGTAACAAATAGCTTGACTTTATTTCTATTGTTATTGGGTGGCTGTTCACACACCTAAGTATTCTTTGTTAGCCACAGTTGTATACTATGCATTTTGTAAATGGCATTTCGCATTGAGATAGCACTTTTATTCTTCAGGGGCTTTAAATATCTATTAAAATGTAGGGTTTCCAATGTACAGAATAGAGAGTAGGGATTGTACCAGAGTCTTAGAGAGAGTAGATGAAAGAATTATCAATTTTCTCTTGCTGATTTGGTGGGAACTATGCGTTTTCATTGCTTAATTAAGCGAACCTGCAAAGTGAAAAGCAAATTAAACAACTACCTTATAATTTAATTGTGTTAACACATTAGAATGTGTCTGAGTAAAATTACTTTTAGAATGCATGGTATATCCCAGCATTTCTATTTCCACGTAATTGTATGTGATATCTAGATATTAAGAAACACTGTTGGTACTGGGGGTTAGGCCTTGAGCTGCTAACTGTAAGTAAGATTGCTGGCCCAAACCTACCTGCAGCTCTGCAACAGAAAGATAATGCTGTCTGCTCTCATAAAGATTTAGTCTCTGAAGCCTGTAAAAATAGTCTCAATGAGTCAGAATCAACTTGATAGCAGAGGGTTTGGCTTTGTTATTCTAGCTTTTGTTATTGTTGATAAGTGCTGTCACATTTCGACCCTGTACAGGATTTCCGAGGAGCTACTGGTGAGCTTGAAATTCCGACCTTGCACTTCAAACCAACCTTATGGTGGAGTGCTTATTCTACAATGCCACACCTGGACTTCTTTCTAGCTAT